TATCTGTTAAATTTATAGCTGCTTCAGCTAGACTTTGATTTTGAAAAAATTCCCTTGGAAAAACATGATGAAGAGTATCGAAGTGAAGATATTCATATTATATACATCAGAAAGAAAAAATCAGTAAGTACATTCCCAGTTCTTCATCTTCTGAGGATATTTCATCATCTGATCACTGTTTCTGGGCTTGTGTGTGGTCAAGGCCTTGATTTTGATGTGGTAAAACAGCTATGACTTCATTGAACTCAGGCATTGACTCAGGATTAAGATCACTTATCTGTCTTGCCTTTGGTTCTTATTCTAAGTAAGGCAGGCTTTTTGTTTTCTTTCATGCTGTGCTGGGGACTGAAGTCAGGGTCTTGCATGTGGAAGGAAGCACTCTACCACTCAACTAAACCTCCAGCCCAGCAGGCTTTTTTTTTATATAGCTTTGTAATGGGATGTGTTAGTAAGCAGCAGTTAATGTAACAATGCCTGAGGTAATAACTTAAAAAGAGGAAAAGTTTATTTTGGCTCACATTTCTAGTCTGTAATCCTTTAGCTCCATTGCCTTATGACAAGGCAGTATGTCATGAGAGAGAAAGCCCAATCACCTCATAGCTGGGAAGGAAAAAGAAAGAAAGAGGAAAGGGCAGAGTCCTGTGGAAAACACATCCCCGATGATCAGAAGACCTCCCCCACAAGGTTTCATCTCGAAAGATTTCACTTCCTCCTTTAATATATGGGCCTTTTGGAGACACTAATTCAGACTATAGCATTGGGCATTATCCCAGACAAGTGACTTAGCTCTTTATATTGTAGTTTCTCTTAACTCAGATTTTAAAATGCCAGTTCATACTTTTGTGAACTTTCTCCAGTCATTCAAATTATTTTTAACAAAGTAAAATGTAATCAGACAGATCTGGGGCTGAGGATGTGGCTTAAGCTGTAGCGCGCTTACCTGGCATGTGTGCAGCCCGGGTTTGATCCTCAGCACCACATACAAACAAAGATGTTGTGTCCACCGAGAACTAAAAAATAAATATTTAAAAATTCTCTGTCTCACTTTCTCTTTTAAAAAAAAATTAGATCTGTTTATTATAGAAAAATGCACCTAATTAAATAAAATTCATTTTTTTTAGTTGTACATAATACCTTTATTTTATTTATTTATTTTTATGTGGTGCTGAGGATCGAACCCAGGGCCTTGCACATCCGAGGCGAGCGCTCTACCCCTGAGCCGCAACCCCAGCCCTAGAATTCATTTTTGTTCCCCTTGTTTGGTGCTTCCTTTACATGATATAACAAT